GGTTTTCAGAAGAGAAGTCCCAGTGGAAAAGATTCCCTCAAGATCAGAAAATTGAGAACCAATGCTCAGAAAGGACTAGCTTGTATGAGAATGTTTGCTTCTGGGACGTAAACAAGACACAGGAGCTTTTGTTGTTGTTGGTCCGTAATTTGTGCAAAATGTGTCGTGAGTAAAAGGCACGTCTTTTCCAGCAGAGCAATCACAAGCATAGACAGGAGGATCTGCTGATGGATCAAAGGGATGCAAACAACTCATCTTAGGTTTCCCCAAAGGCTGTGTCCCAAAGCAGCTGCCACTGTAGTTTCGCACGGCTTGGGCAGAAATTGTCCTTGTTCACATGACAAAGCTCACCCACAGCACCAAGAAGTGTGTCTGCTGTCTTGCCAGCAAGGAAGAGGTGTTTGGGGGGTTCTTTTGGCAGTTTCTTGTACACAAGAATGAGACACAGATGAGGATTTATATCCCGTCCCCCCCCCTTGATTATGTGTGAAAAATGTAGCAGAATCAGGCTGGAGTTGCACAGCAACTTAAAAAGTGGACTGCCTTCACAAATCAAAGAGGAGGTTGGCTTGATCCTTCCCTCTAGCTCTGTGTCCGAAGCCCATCATCTTTTCTTCAAAAAACCCACTGTTTTGCTTAAATAGAATGCGGAGCTTAAAATCAGATGTCACAGACTTCTGTTGTTACAATCCTTGCTATTTTACTGCATCCAGTTTTTTTTTTTCTTTTAACACAAGAGGGTAGTAGTTAGAACACACAGGCCTGGTCTGAATGACCTTGTTTCTTTATAACATCATCTGCAATATTATAACTATGTACATTTGTGTTTTTTTTTTTTAAAAAGAGATGCACAATATTAACAAAGCAACGGGAAGGCTTGAATCCTCCCTTGTTCGTGATGAGCGTTCCTTGGCGAAAACGAGCCAAGGAAAGGCTGATTTCCCTGGAGAAGAAGTCGTAAATACTGGTCGCTGTTTCAGGTTTGAATAGTGTTCACTTAAAAAAAAAAAGATTAGTTTCTTCCCTTTGAGTGGGGGGGGGGAGATCATTGGAACAGGATTTAGCAACATGGGTCCGTGGGACAGACTTTGTTTGTGTAATCAAAGATTCAAGCTACCGTTGGTATAGAGAGTGGGACAGAGAATCTATATACAAATCCTTTGATTTGGAAAAGGGGAGACACCCCGAAGTGGCACAGTCAAAAAGATGAGACTTGTCATCCAGCTGAACCTGGAGGACGGTGGCTTCTTTGCCTCCAGAGCAGACAGATTAAAGGAGGATGTCAGCAGGTGCCGGCTATGGCCAAGGAGTAGAACTTCCATATTCAGGAGCAGTGTGCCACTGAATACAGCCTGCAGATACAACAAGAAAAAGGGGGAGATCTGTTGTTGGCACAGTGCGGTTTAAAACTCCCGCAGAGATCTGTTGGGTGGTCAGCCTTGGGGAAACCAGGCCTTGAGAGCCTTGTGGACGCTCCTCTCCCCCGGCAGGGTGTGGTGTCCACTGTCCAGCTGTGGATTTGGAAGTGGACCAAGAAAGGCCAGCACATTTGCAGGGGTTTTACCTGCTGTGACTCCTTCCCTAAAGCGGGAGGGGACCGGGTGGAAGCCGGAGATGATTTTCTGCCTTCTGGGGCAGCCCAAGACCAAAAATGTCACTGATACACATGCTAAAAA